GTGCGTCCATCCATCCATCCTTTTAATGAATTCAATTCAAACTTCCAGATTTCATGCATCTATCACTGCTGTTCTTGAAAAACACAAGGTAACTATTACATGRTGTTGGGATACCTGTGTTTTGTGTGGGCTTCCAGTGTGTTTGGTCAAGCGCTGATCTTGATGTTGGTATCCTCATTAAAGATGATTTTTTTATTATTGTCACATTCTCATTAATATCAATTTTTCACGAATTCAGCCAGATGTCGTTGAGTTGCACCTTCAGCTCAGCCCTTCCATGACAGCCATTCAGATGGCCATCTTGGATCTGATGGAAAACTGTCTCAAGGAGATTAGACGAGCCAATCCATCTGTAAGTAATAGTACAATACTTTGTTCAAGGAGAGACGTGATAGAGATAGTTGGATGAATAGACTTTATTTACTAGTTTTACATGAAGCTTGTTAGGCTTCTAGCATATACTGCCAGAAGGGTCKGAGGAGAGAGTATTGTATTTTTTATCATTTTTATATCAAGTTACTCCATTACTGCCATGCTGGTGGTATTTTTACAATTAAAGACTTCTCAGTTGTTTCAATTGTTAATGTAYACACACTATTGAACTTTGTTACAAATTACGTTAAAGCCTAATCAATAATTGTTGACATTTCGTAAACAGCTTGATGCAGATGAGTTGACTGTAGAGAAYAGTATTCACAAGGCTTTTGATAAACACCTTCGCTTTCAGTTGGACCCCATCTGGCATCACCTGGTAAGTATGTAAAGTATATTTGAGACAGGTACAGTAGATCACTATGTACAAATTAAAGTCCTCAAAACGTTTGGAGTCACTATTAATTACTGACTATACCATGTGGGACTTAAGACCATGACGCACTATGAGAGACGTACGCTGAAACCATAGTGCGCATTCATGTGAATGAAGATAAGACTATAATAGCCTATGGGACTTAGACCATGGCGCGCTATGAGAGACGTACTCTGAAACCATAGCGCGCATTCATGTGAATGAAGATAAGACTTTACCCTATGGGACTTAGACCATGGTGTTCATAATTCAATAGGGTGGGGGCTAACCAGCCACCTTTTCAAGAAACACTTACAAGGGCTATAAAAAAAACTTGTTCTAGGGGAACGTTGGTTTGAAAATGGAAACCAAAAATTGTTGTTTTAAAATCTTACAATCTTACAAACTTACAATCCATATAGACTCCCCCACCCCCTCTCCCCATCAACAACCTAACAGGCTGAAGATATCAAAAATCATGTTGTTTTATTAAATAACATATTTTTGTATTCTGTTATCACAGAGCAGCAAAACAAGACAGTTAGTSGGAGACCTCAAAGTTCTAAGGTTGATCTTGTTGTAAGTACATTAATATTTGAAAACCAACATCAGAATTTATAAAGCTTAAGGGACAGACCATTAGATAATTGAGGGGGAGTTGCATAAATCCMAAAAAAAATTTCTTCACACCCTCCTTGTTTTAGTAATGAAATATCGAGCAAGCACTTTGTATGAAAGAAAATATCTCGCAATTTCTCCTTTGAGTAAAGAAATATCGACTGAGCAAACACAAAAAAATTGTTTGCAGAAGTCGTTACAAACAAAAAGACGTGCAACATAAAATTCTGCAATCCCGCCCCTCAATAGTCCAATGTTCCATCCCTTATGAAACAGATATTATGACAAATTGCTTCACTGTAATCCTATCAAGTTCTGTAATTGTAATGTGCCATGTCTTTTTGGTTTCAGCTATTTGACCCAGTACGACTGTGTTACATTTTACACCTTTTTGGAGTCCCTAAGGTACGATATAATARTTGCATCTATAACATAGTTGTTTGTTCATGATTCTCTAATGTGCTTCAAGGGTTTTCCGGGGTCTTCAGTCTTCCTCCCTCCACAACAGAATCAACTTCTAATTTCCAATAGACCGTTTTCTCAAGGTTGCGTACGCATACATATTTAAGGGACTTGACGGGCCACGATACGAGAACAGGAGCTTATAATGAAAATTATCGCACTTTTTTAGGAATTTTTTTCCGATAAGAATCAATAAAATTGATTATTCTCCTCTTTGAATATAAAACTGGCTTCTCAATTTGAAGCGGTTTTTTTTTTTTTTTGCGTTTTTCAATTTTGTGACCCGTCAGGTTGGATGCGCATGCAACCTCAGGAAAACGGTCTATTGGAAGTCAGTGGATKAAGAGCCACTCTATGGAAATACCACTGCTAAATCCTATTTGCTAATGACAGCATTTTGTGTATTATCCACAGGACAAACCAGCCYGATGCTACGCGTCAATCTCTCTGGATGTACATGGATGCAACAGACTCGTTATTTGTGGTAAAAACATTATCGCTTGATAAACTAAATGTAATGAAGTTTTAAGATTTTTTCATAACTAACTTTTTCTATATRTTATTATTTCTTGCAGCATGCCAAAGAAAGAGTTTATGGATCAACCCAGACACAAAAAACTAAACGACAGAAAACAGAAAGCAATGCTGAAAAGTATGTAATGATTCTTTTCTTTTCTTTTCTTTTATTTCAATTGTTTCTGCAGGAAGTCGTGGGTTCAAGCCTCCGTTGCCGGACTCACACTCAGGGTCTTAAAATATCTGAGTAGAAGGTAGAAGGTGCTGCCTTTGCTCTAAACATATCTGCRAATAGTTAGACCTTCTTCGTGGCTGGGATGATCGAGTAAAATGTAAAAGAAAAACGTCAGCACAGGAGAAAATATGCCGGAAAAACGTGCAGACAAAGTCTGGGAAACTTCCATATTGCTGTGACCTTTCGCTGATTGAATTCAAATCGTGCAAAGTGCTATTCTAACTTCATTCCCACCAAACAGTCCTTCTCAGGTTTACATCATCCCGGATGATCATAATCAGTTCTTATTGAACGAAGAAAACTGCAACGAAGATTTTCCATTTTAGTGCTATATGCAAATGAAATATGATATTTTAAGCTCAATGTTTCCTCAACAAAAGATCTGACAAAGATTATTGACTAATATTGTATAATAATATTGTTATCTTTGTAGCCCAAAAAAAGATACAGATGGTAAGTARCTAAAGTGAAGTGTGAGCATGCGTAGTTTACTTGACAAACAGTAAAAAGGCCTACAATCCCACATGGTAAAATATTCAAAATMTTGGTAAATCTTGGTATCATATTATGGTTTATTGGTGAGTTCTCTTAATTTGAAGKAGAAGACGATGAATGGAAAATGGAAGAAAGCCCGAAGTGGAAAATATTAGCTGAGATTGTGGAAGAAATTGAAAAAGACGAAGATAAAAATAAGAATCGTGAGTAAATATACGACATGGTTTCTTCAGTTTTTTTTTAAAAAAGTCGACATTTGTTGAGGAAGGAACGTCCTTCTGACARCCACACTGACTTGGGAAAGTCATTCTGGTCAATCTGGGTCTAACTAGATCCCTTAAATACCGTAGTCATAAATGCTGTTGATTCAAACTCAATGTTTGTTTTCTTGTTTGTTTGTAGTTGGACCTGCTCATATCCTTGTGGCGGCGTATGACGAGAGAACCTGTTATCAGTTAAAAGAGGTCAGGCTCAATGCRAGCTTACGTCASRWTTAGATGAATCACGTGATTGAGTAAAAATCCCACAGTGCATCACGCATCACTAGCACGCTAACATGAAATACGAAAGTAATCGSRCTTTTTCTCAATGGAATTTGTGCCGTTTGGCGTGGGCGGGGGTGGCGGGGGCGGGGGGATTTCATGTTCGTGTCCTATCCAAGATGATTTTGTTAGGGCTCAATTACGCTAGCTTTTTCTATTTTTCATTTATTTAACGGCATAGCACAGGCCGAGGAAAGACACGAAGCCCAAACAAACACGGCCTGAAAGATTTACGATGAATGTTGGTGAACTTGACCGACTGCTTATTATGTCGCTTAGAGCTTATTATGACGGAGATCATGTAGAGTTCAATATAACATTTCTGAAATCCTCCATGGGTCATAAGGCCAGGCACTGAGGATGGTACTACGGGCCAGTCATCAGTCTCSCCTTTATAACGCCCACCTTATATTGTTGGTTAAATAAAGGCAGATGAAAAAGGCATGGTATAGTCACAACCCAAGGCTGTTTGTAACAGAATATAGACATGCGAGTTTCTCTGTTTTCTATACAGTATTTATGTCATGGTTCCAAGGCACTTCTTACTCGTGTACTCAACAAAATGGTAAAAGATCCAGCAAACTCGATCCCTGAYCCCGTGATACCTACAGACCTGGACATAGATATGGACGTCGACGACATTGTTCAGGACACTGCGACGACATCAAAACAGGTATGTACGACGATTTTGAGAAGGGTCCATTCAACGATTGGATTAGAAGGTCAGATGGGTCACGTGTTGGGTCAYGTGACATTATGGGAAAATCATGACGTCACTCGCTAGTCCAGGCTCAATCCAAGTCCAATCGTCAATCGAAGCTGTTTGTTTGTTCGTAGACTAGCTCCAAAACTCGTCGAGGTAAAGGTCRTGCTGGTCGAGGAAAGGGACGAACAAGGRGACAAGTRGATGATAAACAAACCCGTCTGGTTGAAATGACAGAAGAAAAGGAAACAAGGTCAGCTAGCTGCATGGGTGCATGTAATATGTACGTAATGAACCACGTACGCACGTTTAACATGGATGAGTTGACAAAAAGAGAACAAAACAGAGGGTGTCAATGGAGGGTGTATGGGAGGGGAGGGGTGGGTAGTGCTTGAGGATCAGCTTCCAGGGGGGATCATCYACTTTTATTTTCCCTGGAATTCAACCTTAAATGCATTTTTACTTACTCATTTATTTGCTTTTATTTTGCTAGTAATTCCAACCAAGACAACAAAACTAAACGAGGTTTGTCCTATGTTATAAGACACTTATTTTATCAATACCAAGTGTAAGAAATTTAGAGATGAATCTAAAATATTTGTCCTTTTGAATTTCAGCAAACACACGGAACATCATCCTCAGAGTAAGAAATTTTATTGATGAAAATAAACATTGCGTTACATAGCCTTGTCACGTCACGTCACTTCACTTGCTACGTTATCTATTTTTGATTCGCATCATATCAACTTTATGTCACGCTGCTTTGCATTTTTATGTTGTGCTACGTGACGCAACATTGTGTTACATTATGTAATGATTACATCACATGTTATGGTCATGTCACGTCACGTACTATGGTACGCTTTTTGTTATTATCTCAAATATCGAGTTCTGAATGAAATTTTTTTTGTTTTTTCAAGCCTGAGGAAACGAAAGGCGACACAGAAGAACAAGGATCAGATTGTAAAATCGTGTCTTCTCCGGTTATTGTCATACACCCTCTGGTTGGATGCAGGTGACTAAGTTACAAATACTACCCAACCCCTACCCCCACCCCCTATGTAAAGATATGTCGACATATTATGTCTCTATTCTTCATAATTTTACCTGKCATTATAGCAGATCACAAATGTGTAAGTAAGAAAAGTTGTCTAAAACAGCACAATTACGGTACTGAAGTGACCAGTCACAGCGCGCAATATCAATGCTCATCCAATTAAAGTATTTGGTATCTCATTGTTATATTTCGCTGCACGGAACGTCGTTACCTTAACCGTGTCTGTTTTACCCAKGTAATATCCTGGAAATGTAAAAGTGAAACCAAACAATTGTCCGAGTTGGTAGTTATTACCATTTATTTATTTTATTTTATTTTTTGTCGTTGTAGTGACCCATATAGCTTGATCAAAACCCTAGAGGAAATAGAACCACGTTACGTCATTCTTTATGACGCTGAGATGGAATTTGTTCGACAGCTAGAGGTATGCAAATAGATCCTACTACAACAACAATATGTTCATTACCCACAGATATTCAAAAGCGAGTTGAATAGCCCTTTCCCAAATTCACTTTAGTCACCACGAAACAATGACTCCAAGTTGAGGATGGACTTGATAGGATTCAGTAAATTCACCACTTTCCATACATCAGTTCACTGGTCAAACACCGCCTAGATTGAATGCTATGCCTGTGACCGTTGAGCCGTTGTAAGATTACATCAATTCCAATCTTGACTTGGAACAATYGTTACTGTGTGAGATTTTGAGGAGAGAGAACATGTGGAATCTCAGAAAAGTACAAATAGTCCCCTAAAGTACAAATAGTCCCCTTTTTAACACCTTGGACAATTATTCACAAGTCTTTATCATTGCAAGCTCACCGTTYGTCTCGCTTYGATGGAAAGGCACGGCTACCTTTCAAGATGGCACAGGGAACTGTGAAGGGGACTATTAGCAGCACAGTTTGCGGCAGAGTTAGGGATTCCTACCCCTATGGATGCGCGCTCTCYTACCTCAATGCGTCACCCATTTTCTTGGTTACAGAACCAAATGAGCATTCTAAAGGGTATTTCTTTATGTGTTCAGATCTACAAGGCTTCCAGACCAGGCGTCCCAATCAGAGTTTATTTCATGATTTATTCAGGGTCAGTCGAAGAACAGGTAACCATAATACCTCTCATTAGTGATTATTAATCTATTATTGGTATGCATGCATTGAAAAGATAAGGAAATGTCAAAAAATGTCCGCCATGTTGGAGGACGCTAAAATAAGTCATCCAATATGGTTCCCATGACGTCACATCCGCGCCAAAAACACAACACTCACTAGACCATAATAAGTCATCCAATATGGCGGCCACGACGTCATATGCGAGCCAAAAACATAAGCGAACCTATTAAAAGTAACACTCAAAAACTAAAATTGATAATTTTTTCCAGAAATATCTTACAACATTACGGAAGGAAAAGGATGCTTTTGAGTTGCTTATCAAAGAAAAAGGGGTAAGAGAAACTAGTCATGCCTTTCGCTGCAGARATTTAATTTTGACTTTAATATTTACTCACTGTCAAGATGATGGTAGTTCCTGAAGAACGAGAAGGAAAGACTGAAGCAGCCATGGCTCTGAGTCGAGATAAAACAAAAGCCACTGATGTACTGAACACACGAAAAGCTGGAGGAAGAGAGGACGAAGCAAAGCAAGCACAGACGAGAAGGGTACGTTTTCCTTAGTTTAAAACTCATCGTCTAGATAAGTTTGGGGTTAGGTACCATGGTGCGAGCTGTGCGCATCAATCAGAAGTAACCATGGCGACCGGGTCACAGCTCACTACCTGGTACCTGTCACACTGACCAATCAGTGGAATAATACTCACCTGGCTCCCACCAAATGAGGAGTGGGCGGGCGGGATAATTTTTTTTTGCTGCACGCTCACAGCCAAARCTACCAAGACTGCTGGCAAAGCTGCCACTAGTCCTTAGCAAAAACGCGCACCATCCCCCACCCCCACCGCATATTGTTGGGGTGGGTAGCCGCTGGCCACTACGACTCGGTTTTGACTTGCCTGAATTTCATTCATGCTCATTTAAAGCTGGTGTTCATCTAATTCATTGAAACTTGATAGGGAAAGGCGGTTTAAAGATATTTATGAAAACAGTTTTAGGAGACTTGCGTTGGGTGTTTTTATTTTATTTTATTTTATTTATTTTTTTTTTTTGTTCGTTTGTTTTTTGTTTTTTTTTTGTTTTTGTTTATTTATTTGTTTATTTATTTATTTATTTATTTATTTTCTGTCTGTCTACAAATTTTACGAYAAAGGAGGCGTTTAAACAATAAGTTGTATTTAGACGGGATTTACTTATTTCCTATTATTCAGGTGATTGTAGACATGAGGGAATTCAGAAGCGAACTGCCTTCTTTGATTCATAGGCGAGGAATAGACATAGAACCTGTCACGCTGGAGGTAAAACTATCACAGATGAATCAATCAAAATGAAAAAAATCCACACAGTAGACCTAAAGCTGGAAGCATTTCCATCGAGAAAAAGTGTGGTTTCTTTTGATATTCTTGTTAGCCTCGCTTCCAATTATTTTTTTACTTTCTCCAATTATTTATTATTTATATATTTACTCTTTCCAGGTAGGAGATTACATCCTTAGTCCAGACATGTGCGTCGAAAGAAAGAGTGTAGGCGATCTCATAAGCTCTCTGAACAGCGGTCGACTGTGAGTAGTATAGCAAGGAACCAAGAGAATATGAACTATTAGTTCATATTCTCTTGAAGGAACTGGAAAGTTTATATTGATTCTCATGTGACGTCATAGCCGCCATTTWCCTTAGATTTGACAAAAGATTTCTATAACGAAAACAAGAATGATAATCATTCAAGCTCGCTGAAAAGTGGTCGATTCGATTCATGTGACGTAAATGCCCCCATTTGGGTCGAGTTCAACGAAGGATTTCTCGCCGTTTTCCTTCGCTTCATCAACGAACCAAAATAACTTTCATGTCTTGTTCTTTAATCTCTTRGAAAAGCTTTCAAAAAGCCCCATACAATGCTAGTCAGTTAAGTACTATATCGGGGATTCCAATAGCTTCGATTCATGGTTTCCATGTGACGTCATGGCCGCCATGTTGGTTGAGTTCAGCGAACGAATTTTCATTCGGTTCATTAGCCAAAACTATCCTCATCCTCATATCTTTTTTTTTTCTTCTTTATTCTCTTGGGTATATGACTTCGAAAAAGATGAATCAKTTGCTACTAAAGATTGAATTTATTCAACATATTTTATCCTCTTTTGATTGCAACCCTCTGTTTTATTTTAAGGTATAACCAGGCTGTAGCAATGACAAGATTCTACAAACGCCCGATTTTACTTATAGAATTTGATCAAAATAAATCATTTTCCTTACAGGTAGTATATCATTCTATTCTCTTATTTTAGTTTCCTTTTGGAACGTCAAAACATCCTATTATAATTTCCTTGAAATAATAAGTTTTTCGTTTTTCTTTCTTAGACAATGTCAACTGTGTCTAATGAAATATCAATACAGAACGTCACATCGAAGCTGGCTCTTTTAACTATCCATTTCCCGAAGGTAAGTAACTGGTCAGAGCGCAAATATGCAATGAAAATGTCCTTGGAATTYGCAGTAGGAACCTATTACCTTCTCTTAGAGCGCAACTCGTGGAGATTTCATTCGAATTTTTAAAACAATCTCTACTTCCTTATATTAGAGCGCAAACGATGTGAAATTTTTTTTTAATTGTCAATAGTTATTTCTATAGCAGGGGYGGATTCAGAATTTTTTCAAAGGGGATGCACCATCCAGAATTTTCGTTTTCGGAGGAAGCACCCTTTGCTTACAAACTCAGTAGATATCAGCTCGTCTAGGGTGGTGGGGTGGGGGGGGGGAGTGCACTCCCCTTGCACCTCTCCCCTAGATCCGCCCCTTTATAGACGAGAGAATAGAAAAATATAGAAAGATATATAAACCGTAGGAAGGAAATATATTTCTATTTTCTTGGTTTTAGTTACGGATTCTTTGGTGTCATAGTCCTTACGCCACAGCAGAACTCTTCGACGATCTCAAGGTCAGTCCGGTATACGTATACCTCATTACCTCATCATGGTTCAACCTGCTATCAAATAAATATAGCATTCTGGATGTCATTAGACTATTAGCATTCGTGTAGTAACCTAAAGAAATACAGTCGTAAGCACTAGCATGGGGGGTGGGGTCGCTCTCGGTACCAAAATTTAATCAATTTATGCGGGATTCCTGTGGATTTTTGCGGGAAAATGGTACATTTCCCCCCTCCCCCCGTATAATCAAGAACTCGCGACGTCCTGGTCGTAAGCCTTATGTTTCCGCTAGCTTTTTTTTACTTTCGCTGAAAAATTATTCTGTTCATACTTTGTTGTTTATTGACTTTGTTGTTTATTGACTTTGTTGTTTATTGACTTTGTTGTTGTATCAATAGAATGGACACCCTGAGCCTGATGCCGAAACCGCCATGTCCATCGGAACAGATTCGACGTCTGTTAGCGACGTCAAGTACAATATTGCTCCACAGGTAAGGGTTTCTCTCACTCTTTTATGAAAAGTTTACTTTAAATCTCTGGCAAAACTAAATTCTACGACAAAGCAATCAATTGAATCTCGAGTATATTCCCTCCCCCTGGATCTGCCACTGCGTAAGTTTAATGAATACAGAGTCTTATTTATCGCAGGATTTCATTCTCAAGCTTCCAGGAATCAACTCCAAAAACTACAAGTAAGTTAACGATTTTCAGTATTTTTGATTAAGTATCTCTCATAAGGGCTCCTCCCACACTTCTCGCCCATACTTTTGTAACACACTCGTACRTTAGTCGTAACAGACTCGTGTCCGCCTCGTGCTTTGATCGTATCAGACTCGTGTAGGAATCGGTTCGGATATTTGACCCTTTCTACGTTTCTAGGTACCTAATGAATCAAGTAAAAAATATTCACGAACTTTGCGAGCTTCCAGAAACAAGATTAGCTGAAATTCTAGACAATAGTAGCGCTGCCAAGACGTTGTGGGAATTTCTTCATGCGAATAAAAAAGTACAAGAAAAGGTGATATCTTCCAAGACAACTCGAGCTAAACTGAGCAAAAAGAACTAATCTGGGAGCTTTGTTGTTTCGTCTGTATATATTTTTTAAGTCAAAATTATACATTTGTATATTTTCTTAGGGTGTAAATAAAGCAAAAGGATTTGCAATTTTGTGTATTTACTAAATTTTTGTTATTTATATCTAGAAAATGAATATTTGTAAGTTTCTTGGATTCAACGTTAAAATTAAAATTAAAAATKCGTAAAACAAAACCGTCTGTTTTGCTGGGTATATTGTATTAAATTCGAAAAAAGACCTGAATTTTTACAGGAAGGGTGCACATCGAATAAAATCGGACTATTGATCGTTTTTTCATTACCAAATCAGTGACGTAACTAGGGATCTTGCAGGGAGGTGCACAGGCAATAAGATAAAAAAAGGTAACCAAAAGAAAGCAGAACCAAAAAAAAAAAAAAAAAGAGGGGAAAAAAAGGAGATGGATGAGCGGACCTTAAGCTTTTAGCTTTTATATGGGGGTGCACGTGCACCCTGTGCCCCCCCTGGTTACGGCCCTGGTAAGTATTGTTATGTTCACGTCTTAAAACCGAGTTATCCCTACTCCTTTCCCTACTCCTACTCCTGCTCTATCCCTAAAACGATAACTGAATTCAATAGATCAAGAGCTATTCACGAGACACATATCACCATCATCGTCGTCTCCTCATGCCACAAGCGCATAGGGCCAAGGCATACAGGACATAAAAAGTAAACTATTCCATGAAAACTAGCCGCAGATGATGAAATATTTTGGGGGAAAAAGTTCGAAAAAAAAGTTAATAGAATACGAATTTCAAACTAAAGAAGAAAACGTAAATAAAGAAAAATGAGAACGAACACGAACTGATGGATAAAATGCACAAGAAAGCTAGGAGTAAAAAGAACGGGTAAGTAAATAGTGATATGAGAAAAGAATTGGAGTAAAGATAAAAAGAAAAAAAAGAGTAGGGGAAAAAAGAAAGAAAAAATTATGAAAAGAAGAAAAAGAGGAAAAAAAGGAAAAATGGGAATGAAAGAAATTCCAATTTCCCATTCCCATTAGATCTAGTCTCTACTCCACCATCAAGTACCAGGTTACCCACACCATTTTTTCCAAGATGGCGATCAAAGGTAACCAGAGAACATGTTTCTCACTGTTTTGTTTTGATTTTCCTTACTTTTAAATACTATAACACCACGAGTTTTACCTGCTACGTCCATTCAAAGCATCTAACTAATGCTTGTACTATATTTTATCTCCATTTTTTCCTTCCTCSGCCGGCAATGGTGGATCAAATCAAAGCGTAAGTTTAATTTCCTCTATCKTGTTGATTGTTCTAAATTTCTTAAGAATCAAGCTTTTTTCATGTCTACGAGCTCATATTTGAATTATTTAAGGTGTAAATTATCTGGTTCTTTCAGAATTATAGGGCTGTCGTTTAGCGGGGCGATCGGAATTTTACTCGTTGTTTTGGGCTGTGCTTTGAAAGACTATGGGTGAGTATTAAGAAGACATGGCTTCTTATAATCATCGTTAAAACTAAATGTTCAGCCTAAAAAATTGGTTTAAGAGTGAGAATGATRCATGAATTATTCAACTATAAGCCCGGAATTCTTTTTATGAGTCTAAGAGAGGTGCTTATGAAGTAGAAAATGCTTACAGAATAAGGTAAATAATGGAATATTTTTCTCTGAATAAAGCTGTGTTCAACGATCCAGAACTTACTGCCCATTAGATGAACTTATATTCAAAATATTTCGTCTTCTTAAATTTAGTTTTCATGCTGCAAAAGGTTTCAATTAGTATTGTACATCATAGAGAAAGTTATTGCCTTATTTCTTGATAATATTGTGTACAAAGGGCACAATTGTTCTTAGATGTTTTTGTAAAGTTATTCARCAATAACAATGTTTTTGTATAAATGACAGAATATTTTAAAAATAGGAATGACAGTAGAGGACAATGTAAAAGCAAGAATATTTTTATATTCTAATATTTTTATATTCTATTCCTATGCTTAATATTTTTTATTTTCTTCTTATTTAAAACAATTTATTTGAATGTACAAAATTATTTCAAAAATGTACACAAGATTGATTATATATTCAGCTTTAGCGCCTTTTTATTTATTTATTTTTATTTATTTATTTTTTTGCAGAATATGGTGGCCGATGTTTGTGTGTAAGTATACACTTCTTTCAATTAAGTTAGTCACCTGAAAATCTATAAAGCTGAGTCCAACAAAGATTATGGATAGATTCATTTTACACGTTCAACCGCTTGATAACTCTTCATGGACTTGCAAATTTTTTACCAGTCACAGTCTCACCTCTTTCGAGCATCATTGAGCTGCAGTTTGTGTTAAAAAAGCTTTGTATATATATGCTTTTTTGATATGAAAAGTTTCCCATGATGCTCAGTGATCTCAGCTTTCTAGGTTTTTGGTGACTAACTCTATTGAAAGAAGCGTATAAAGCTATTGTACATATTAAAGATGTAGTTGAAGAGTGCAAAATGAAATATTATAGACATTAAAAAAATCAACTTGAGTATGTGTTTCAGCTCATAATTTGGAGAAAGGAGAAAATAGTATTAGGTAGAAAATAAGTTAAGGAAAAAATATGTTGAATATGGAATTGAATGATTTATTAGGATGGATATTAAATTTATATGGAAAATTTTTCTGGAATTCAAAAGAACATTTGCCATCCAACAAGGATTATTCATATGAATTCTAAACTTTATGTACCTAATCTAGGGGTCAAAATGAAAGGATTCCTTTCTCTTAAGGTTGACATCTTTTTCCATTTTAATATTTTTGTTATTGTTTAGATCCTGAGGTAGGGTCTTAGTGCAAGAGGACTTTTTAACAATAGTCTTGCAGCCCCCATGGYTTATGAGTCAATAGTCCATGACGCTCAAGGCCAAATGTTCCAATGACTCTTAGACCATGAGGGTAAGAGGTCTAGAAGAATCTTAGGTTGTTTATATTAATTATCAGTTATAATGACTAACAATATCTTTCTTCTGTGTGTAGTATTGTTTTATTTGCTAGCACCATTACCAACAATTGTAGCCAAAAGATTCTCTGAAGACTTCTCTTCCAATACGGCAAAGTATGTATAATTTCTTTTTGATTTCTAATTTTTGGGGGTTGATGGTGGTGGTGTAGTGATAGTGCACTGACCTATCACCTCTGGGGTCTTGGAATTTATTTATTTTTGGGGGTTGACGGTGGTGGTGTAGTGAGAGTGCACTAACCTATCACCTCAGGGGTCTTGGATTTTTAAGTGGGGCGGGGGGGTGTTGATGGTGGTGGTGTAGTGGCAATACACTCACCTCTCCCCTATGGGGTTGAGGGTTTGTTTCTTGGACTCAGCAACACATTTAACAAGAGTTATTTTATCTCTTCTCTGCCTTGGTTTTTATCCAAGCTTTCTTGTTTTCCTCTCTCAACAAAACCCAACATGCTGTCATGACTTAAGTCAGCCCAGAAGTTGTTTCAAGTTTCAATTCAATGCAATTGTGGGGGTTTTGTATCATAAATGGTTACTATTCATTCTGTCATGTGATTAGGGTCAAGCTAAGTTGGGTTTTGCTTTTTTAGTGTAACAAAAGAAGTTGCCTTCTTCCTCACATCAGGAATAGTTGTCTCTGCATTTGGTATGTAA